ATTTAAGTAGTTGTGCTGTTTGCTACTGTTTTGGGATATTCCAGACACCAGTCACTTCCTCCATGAGAGCCAGAAGCTCTTAACATAGAGCTAAGCCCAGTGGTACAGGGCTTTGTTCAATTGATGAGCGTGATCAACTGATGCTATCTGCCAATGAGCTGGCCCTGCATGGTAGGGTTTAGCTCAGGAGAGCCAACAAAGCTCTGTGAAGAAACTTCCAGCGTTCAGTGGAGGAAGTGACCTGCTTCCGGCAGAAACCAGGTACTTTTTAAAACCAATAATTAGGCACATTGGGTGGGGGGCACCAAGGCACTGTAGTGGTTATGGTGCTCAAGGTTTCCATAAATAGTAGAAGGTAGGATGGTGCAAGGAAACGCCAGGCTCTATAACTAATTCATTTAGATGAAGTGGTTATGGTGCCCCAAGTGTTCTATTAAACATTTGGCAAATGATATAGAGTTACAGTTTACAGCAGGCACATCCTGAGCAAATATTGCAACCAAGGAGAACAAATAGCAACATTGTTTAGTTTGGTTTCTCCTTTGTGTGTGCTCTAAATGCTGCCTGCTGGGTGTACAGGAAAGTCCTTATAACAATGACTGACAAGAGCTAATATGGAGGCGCCCAGTTACAGAATAAAGAGGTGTGGATTTTTACGTTTAATTTTTTTTTTTTAAATCTCAGAAATACTCATAGGGATAGGTAAACATTAATATAAAAAATCTGGTTGAGTGACAGTTCCACTTTAAGTTACCTCTTTGGGAGCGAGAGAACGAGCAACGAAGGAATGAGAGGGGATGATGAGTAAAAAAATAAATGGATGATAGGAAGAAGCAGATGGGTAGAAGGGAGAGCAGTTTAAATACATACTCAGACGGAATGAGGACAGCACTAAACAGATGGAGAGATATCTAGGAACAAAATTAAAATAAAACACAAGCCATTCAGAAAGGTAGACTGTGTAAGGGAGGAGAAAAGTCAAATTATGAAAGAAAAGGTAGATACAATTACAATTTAAAGAAATACTAACAGATGAATGAGTGAGGATGAAATAAAAGAGAGAAAAAGTGATTGTATTTGAAACAGATGGGGAAAAGGAAAATAGAGTAATAACGATTGTGGGTGCTGTTAACGTAGGTAAGGATAGAACATGAATGAGAAAATGAAAAAGAGAGAAACAATGAGACAGTGAGAGGCAATGAGAAATAAAGGGGAGGAGGAGAACGTTAAAGAGACAGTGAATGAGAGCCAGAAAAAGTAAGAGAAAAATGAGATCGAGAGACGAGAAAAGGAAAGAATGTGAGAGAGAGAAATGGAAGAGAAACTGGCAGATATAAAAGGTTTTGGATAAAGGAGAGAATGAAAGCGGAAAAGACAGAGAGACGCGGAGAGAAAACACAAAACCCATAACGAAGTTTAGAATTACCCAGCAGGCAGAGAGGGGGGCAGTGAAGGAGACTGGGAGGGGAAACTGGAAAAGAGTTTAGAGGAAAAGTGGATAGTAAGGCAGCTAATATGGGGAGTTAAATGTTTAATATTTTTTTTTAGGAATGGTTTGGTAGGACTGGAATTAAACTGATATTTTGAGTGTTCCCACGGTGATCCAACACTCTGCCCGTTGATGGGGGCATTTAGTGAATTCTCTAAAGGAGCGAGCAATGAGTAGCAGTCTGCCCCTCCCCCAGCCACCTGGTGAATCTCAGTCATGCCATACCTAAATGGCTGGCACTGCCCGCTCAGCATGTGCTCGGCCCCCTCCCCCACCCTTCCATAGGGCTTAGAAACTTGTGTAAAGCCTGGGCTTCTCTGAGCAAAACTGCCCATCTGCAGCTGGGGCTGTCCATGCAGCAATGAAAGGGGGAGGCTTTAGTGATCATGCCAGTAGGGATTTGGGCAAAGGGAGGAGAGGCGGGCACCCAAAAATGCTCCTTTGCCAATGTTGATCCTAAATGGTTTTAGTGTCTGTGCTCCTCGCTTTTATCACAGTATCAATCCCCCCTTTATATCTGGCACTGATGTTTCCAGCAATCTGACATTTTATATCTCACTTTAGGTATTACTCTTTCTAACAAATGTGGTTAATAAATTCTCTAGTGTCTGACATTCTCATTCTTTCTGCCCTTATATTGCCTTTTCAATGACTAACAGCTTACAAAGACTGGGGTAAAAATGTGCTCAGGAGCCGGGTTACTGTAATGAGATAATATAGGGTAATAAGGCACTCACTAGCTGGGTTACTGCAATAAGATGTTACAGGGTAATAAGGCACTCAGGAGCCGGGTTACTGTAATAAGATGTTACAGGGTAATAAGGCACTCAGGAGCCGGGTTACTGTAATAAGATGTTACAGGGGTAATAAGGCACTCAGGAGCCGGGTTACTGTAATAAGATGTTACAGGGTAATAAGGCACTCAGGAGCCGGGCTACTGTAATAAGATGTTACAGGGTAATAAGGCACTCAGGAGCTGGGTTACTGTAATAAGATGTTACAGTGTAATAAGGCACTCAGGACCCCGGGGTACTGTAATAAGATGTTACAGGGTGATAAGGCGCTCAGGAGCCGGGTTACTGTAATAAGATGTTACAGGGTAATAGGGCACTCAGGAGCCGGGTTACTGTAATAAGATGTTACAGGGTAATAAGGCACTCAGGAGCCGGGTTACTGTAATAAGATGTTACAGGGTAATAAGGCACTCAGGAGCCGGGTTACTGTAATGAGATGTTACAGGGTAATAAGGCACTCAGGAGCCGGGTTACTGTAATAAGATGTTACAGGGTAATAGGGCACTCAGGAGCCGGGTTACTGTAATGAGATGTTACAGGGTAATAAGGCACTCAGGAGCCGGGTTACTGTAATGAGATGTTACAGGGTAATAAGGCGCTCAGGAGCCGGGTTTCTGTAATAAGATGTTACTGGGTAATAAGGCACTCAGGAGCTGGGTTACTGTAATGAGATGTTACAGGGTAATAAGGCACTCAGGAGCTGGGTTACTGTAATGAGATGTTACAGGGTAATAAGGCACTCAGGAGCCAGGTTACTGTAATAAGATGTTACAGGGTAATAAGGCGCTCAGGAGCCGGGTTTCTGTAATAAGATGTTACTGGGTAATAAGGCACTCAGGAGCTGGGTTACTGTAATGAGATGTTACAGGGTAATAAGGCACTCAGGAGCCGGGTTACTGTAATAAGATGTTACAGGGTAATAAGGCACCCAGGAGTCGGGTTACTGTAATAAGATGTTACAGGGTAATAAGGCACTCAGGAGCCGGGTTACTGTAATAAGATGTTACAGGGTAATAAGGCACTCAGGAGCTGGGTTACTGTAGTAAGATGTTACAGGGTAATAAGGCACTCAGGAGCCGGGTTACTGTAATAAGATGTTACAGGGTAATAAGGCACTCAGGAGCTGGGTTACTGTAGTAAGATGTTACAGGGTAATAAGGCGCTCAGGAGCCAGGTTACTGTAATAAGATGTTACAGGGTAATAAGGCACTCAGGGGCCGGGTTACTGTAATAAGATGTTACAGGGTAATAAGGCACTCAGGAGCCGGGTTACTGTAATAAGATGTTACAGGGTAATAAGGCACTCAGGAGCCGGGTTACTGTAATGAGATGTTACAGGGTAATAAGGCACTCAGGAGCCGGGTTACTGTAATAAGATGTTACAGGGTAATAAGGCACTCAGGAGCCGGGTTACTGTAATAAGATGTTACAGGGTAATAGGGCACTCAGGAGCCGGGCTACTGTAATAAGGTGTTACAGGGTAATAAGGCGCTCAGGAGTCGGGTTACTGTAATAAGATGTTACAGTGTAATAAGGCGCTCAGGAGCTGGGTTACTGTAATAAGATGTTACAGGGTAATAAGGCACTCAGGAGCTGGGTTACTGTAATAAGATGTTACAGGGTAATAAGGCACTCAGGAGCCGGGTTACTGTAATAAGATGTTACAGGGTAATAGGGCACTCAGGAGCCGGGCTACTGTAATAAGGTGTTACAGGGTAATAAGGCGCTCAGGAGTCGGGTTACTGTAATAAGATGTTACAGGGTAATAAGGCACTCAGGAGCCGGGTTACTGTAATAAGATGTTACAGGGTAATAAGGCACTCAGAAGCCGGGTTACTGTAATAAGATGTTACAGGGTAATAAGGCACTCAGGAGCCGGGTTACTGTAATAAGATGTTACAGGGTAATAAGGCACTCAGGAGCTGGGGTACTGTAATAAGATGTTACGGGGTAATAAGGCACTCAGGAGCCGGGTTACTGTAATAAGATGTTACGGGGTAATAAGGCACTCAGGAGCCAGGTTACTGTAATAAGATGTTACAGGGTAATAAGGCACTCAGGAGCCGGGTTACTGTAATAAGATGTTACAGGGTTATAACGCACTCAGGAGCCGGGTTACTGTAATAAGATGTTACAGGGTAATAAGGCGCTCAGGAGCCGGGTTACTGTAATAAGATGTTACAGGGTTATAACGCACTCAGGAGCCGGGTTAGTGTAATAAGATGTTACAGGGTAATATTGCACTCAGGAGCCGGGTTACTGTAATAAGATGTTACGGGGTAATAAGGCACTCAGGTGCTGGGTTACTGTAATAAGATGTTACAGGGTAATAAGGCACTCAGGAGCCGGGTTACTGTAATAAGATGTTTCAGGGTAATAAGGCACTCAGGAGCCGGGTTACTGTAATAAGATGTTACAGGGTAATAAGGCACTCAGGAGCCGGGTTACTGTAATAAGATGTTACAGGGTAATAAGGCACTCAGGAGCCGGGTTACTGTAATAAGATGTTACAGGGTAATAAGGTACTCAGGAGCCGGGTTACTGTAATAAGATGTTACAGGGTAATAAGGCACTCAGGAGCCGGGTTACTGTAATAAGATGTTACAGGGTAATAGGGCACTCAGGAGCCGGGTTACTGTAATAAGATGTTACAGGGTAATAAGGCGCTCAGGAGCCGGGTTACTGTAATAAGATGTTACAGGGTAATAAGGCGCTCAGGAGCCGGGTTACTGTAATAAGACGTTACAGGGTAATAAGGCAGTCAGGAGCCGGGTTACTGTAATAAGATGTTACAGGGTAATAAGGCGCTCAGGAGCCGGGTTACTGTAATAAGACGTTACAGGGTAATAAGGCAGTCAGGAGCCGGGTTACTGTAATAAGATGTTACAGGGTAATAAGGCGCTCAGGAGCCGGGTTACTGTAATAAGGCGCTCAGGAGTCGGGTTACTGTAATAAGATGTTACACGGTAATAATAATACAGGGTAATAAGGCACTCAGGAGCCGGGTTACTGTAATAAGATGTTACAGGGTAATAAGGCACTCAGGAGCCGGGTTACTGTAATAAGGTGTTACAGGGTAATAAGGCACTCAGGAGCCGGGTTACTGTAATAAGATGTTACAGGGTAATAAGGCACTCAGGAGCCGGGTTACTGTAATAAGATGTTACGGGGTAATAAGGCACTCAGGAACAGGGTTACAGTAATAAGATGTTACGGGGTAATAAGGCACTCAGTATCCAGGTTACTGTAATAACATGTTACAGGGTTGGAAGGCACTCAGGAGCCGGGTTACTGTAATAAGATGTTACAGGGTAATAAGGCACTCAGGAGCCGGGTTACTGTAATAAGATGTTACAGGGTAATAAGGCACTCAGGAGCCAGGTTACTGTAATAAGATGTTACAGGGTAATAAGGTGCTCAGGAGCCGGGTTACTGTAATAAGATGTTACAGGGTAATAAGGCACTCAGGAGCCAGGTTACTGTAATAAGATGTTACAGGGTAATAAGGCGCTCAGGAGCCGGGTTACTGTAATAATATGTTACAGGGTAATAAGGCACTCGGGAGCCGGGTTACTGTAATAAGATGTTACAGGGTAATAAGGCGCTCAGGAGCCGGGTTACTGTAATAAGACGTTACAGGGTAGGCACTCAGGAGCCGGTTACTGTAATAAGATACAGGCGCTCAGGAGCCGGGTTACTGAGCCAGGAGTCGGGTTACTGTAATAAGATGTTACAGGGTAATAAGGCACTCAGGAGCCGGGTTACTGTAATAAGATGTTACAGGGTAATAAGGCACTCAGGAGCCGGGTTACTGTAATAAGATGTTACAGGGTAATAAGGCACTCAGGAGCCGGGTTACTGTAATAAGATGTTACAGGGTAATAAGGCACTCAGGAGCCGGGTTACTGTAATAAGATGTTACAGGGTAATAAGGCGCTCAGGAGCCGGGTTACTGTAATAAGATGTTACAGGGTAATAAGGCACTCAGGAGCCGGGTTACTGTAATAAGATGTTACGGGGTAATAAGGCACTCAGGAGCCGGGTTACTGTAATAAGATGCTACAGGGTAATAAGGCACTCAGGAGCCGGGTTACTGTAATAAGATGCTACAGGGTAATAAGGCACTCAGGAGCCGGGTTACTGTAATAAGATGTTACAGGGTAATAAGGCACTCAGGAGCCGGGTTACTGTAATAAGATGTTACAGGGTAATAAGGCGCTCAGGAGCCGGGTTACTGTAATGAGATGTTACAGTGTAATAAGGTACTCAGGAGCCGGGTTACTGTAATAAGATGTTACAGGGTAATAAGGAATAATTCAGGTTATTGCAGAAAATGATGAGATGCACATTGTTTACTTTTGATACTTGGTGCAATTTGAGAGATTAACTATTCGTATACTCTCTGGTTTTAAAATAGTTAAGGATTGTGGTGGATAGAGGGAGTGAGAAAGAGATTTGTGGATTCTGGCCGTGTTACACTGGTGTACATTCACAGCCAAAATCAACATACAACAGAAAATGGAGACTTAATTCGAGATTGAAAAGCAGAGTGCCTGATTTTGCTATCAATAACGTCTCTTTTACTTCCTTTCACATTAATCAGTGCTGTCTGAGCCTGTCCTGATAATCTGCAGTCAGGTTGTCTCTGTATATTATATATGAACCCAGCACTGTCTCAGCCTGTCCTGATAATCTGCAGTCAGGAGGTCTCTGTATATTAGATATAAACCCAGAGCTGTCTGAGCCTGTCCTGATAATCTGCAGTCAGGAGGTCTCTGTATATTAGATATAAACCCAGCACTGTCTCAGCCTGTCCTGATAATCTGCAGTCAGGAGGTCTCTGTATATTATATTATATATAAACCCAGCACTGTCTCAGCCTGTCCTGATAATCTGCAGTCAGGAGGTCTCTGTATATTATATATAAACCCAGCACTGTCTCAGCCTGTCCTGATAATCTGCAGTCAGGAGGTCTCTGTATATTATATATAAACCCAGCACTGTCTGAGCCTGTCCTGATAATCTGCAGTCAGGAGGTCTCTGTATATTATATATAAACCCAGCACTGTCTGAGCCTGTCCTGATAATCTGCAGCCAGGAGGTCTCTGTATATTATATATAAACCCAGCACTGTCTCAGCCTGTCCTGATAACCTGCAGTCAGGAGGTCTCTGTATATTATATATAAACCCAGCACTGTCTCAGCCTGTCCTGATAATCTGCAGTCAGGAGGTCTCTGTATATTATATATAAACCCAGCACTGTCTCAGCCTGTCCTGATAATCTGCAGCCAGGAGGTCTCTGTATATTATTTACAAACCCAGCACTGTCTGAGCCTGTCCTGATAATCTGCAGTCAGGAGGTCTCTGTATATTATATATAAACCCAGCACTGTCTCAGCCTGTCCTGATAATCTGCAGTCAGGAGGTCTCTGTATATTATATATAAACCCAGCCCTGTCTGAGCCTGTCCTGATAATCTGCAGTCAGGAGGTCTCTGTATATTATATATAAACCCAGCGCTGTCTGAGCCTGTCCTGATAATCTGCAGTCAGGCTGACTCTGTACATTAAATAAAAACCCAGCACTGTGTGAGTCTGCTCTGTTACGCATAGCTATTTAGTCCTCTTTTGTCCTCGCTATGTGCGTTATTTAACCCTTGCTCTTTATAGTTATCAATCTCCTGCACTCTGAGCTTTATCTAACCCTTACACTCCATGGCTATCAATCTCTATGGTGTTTGTTTTATTCTTGGAATCTTTAGCTACCAATTTCTTACATTTTGCGTTTATATTTTGTGTACCCAGTCAATTTTAATCTCTCTCCCACTCAAACTAACACCACTTACATTATCTATTTTATTGTCTTTTCCTATATTCTGCATTTGTAATTTGTATTGAAATTACAATTTCTTCATGTGTCTCGGTGCTGGTATATTGTATTCTGAATGATTTAATCTCGTCTCTAGTTATCAAATTCTTGTACACTTTTTTTTCTCTAATTAATTCTAAAGTTCAGTCTCCAAACACTCTACACTCTCCAATTATCGATCTCTTGCAATTTCCACCTATTAATCTCTTGCACTTTCCACCTATTAATCTCTTGCACTTTCCACCTATTAATCTCTTAGACTTTCCACCTATTGATCTCTTATCTCTTGCACTTTCCACCTATTAATCTCTTGCACTTTCCACCTATTAATCTCTTAGACTTTCCACCTATTGATCTCTTATATCTTGCACTTTCCACCTATTGATCTCTTATCTCTTGCACTTTCCACCTATTAATCTCTTGCACTTTCCACCTATTACTCTCTTACACTTTCCACCTATTAATCTCTTGCATTTTCCACCTAATAATCTCTTGCACTTTACCACCTATTAATCTCTTACACTTTCCACCTATTAATCTCTTACACTTAACACCTATTAATCTCTTGCACTTTCCACCTGTTGATCTCTTGCACTTTCCACCTGTTGATCTCTTGCACTTTACCACCTATTAATCTCTTACACTTTCCACCTATTAATCTCTTGCACTTTACCACCTATTAATCTCTTACACTTTCCACCTATTAATCTCTTGCACTTTCCACCTATTACTCTCTTACACTTTCCACCTATTAATCTCTTACACTTAACACCTATTAATCTCTTGCACTTTCCACCTGTTGATCTCTTGCACTTTACCACCTATTAATCTCTTAGACTTTCCACCTATTGATCTCTTATCTCTTGCACTTTCCATCTATTAATCTCTTGCACTTTCCACCTATTAATCTTTTACACTTTCCACCTATTAATCTCTTGCACTTTCCACCTATTAATCTCTTATACTTTCCACCTATTAATCTCTTGCACTTTCCACCTATTACTCTCTTACACTTTCCACCTAATAATCTCTTGCACTTTACCACCTATTAATCTCTTGCACTTTCCACCTATTAATCTCTTACACTTTCCACCTATTAATCTCTTGCACTTTCCACCTATTAATCTCTTACATTTAACACCTATTAATCTCTTGCACTTTCCACCTGTTGATCTCTTGCACTTTACCACCTATTAATCTCTTAGACTTTCCACCTATTGATCTCTTGCACTTTACCACCTATTAATCTCTTACACTTTCCACCTATTAATCTCTTACATTTAACACCTATTAATCTCTTGCACTTTCCACCTGTTGATCTCTTGCACTTTACCACCTATTAATCTCTTAGACTTTCCACCTATTGATCTCTTATCTCTTGCACTTTCCATCTATTAATCTCTTGCACTTTCCACCTATTAATCTTTTACACTTTCCACCTATTAATCTCTTGCACTTTACCACCTATTAATCTCTTGCACTTTCCACCTATTAATCTCTTACACTTTCCACCTATTAATCTCTTGCACTTTCCACCTATTACTCTCTTACACTTTCCACCTATTAATCTCTTACACTTAACACCTATTAATCTCTTGCACTTTCCACCTGTTGATCTCTTGCACTTTACCACCTATTAATCTCTTACAATTCCACCTATTAATCTCTTACACTTTCCACCTATTAATCTCTTGCACTTTCCACCTGTTGATCTCTTGCACTTTACCACCTATTAATCTCTAGCACTTTCCACCTATTAATCTCTTAGACTTTCCACCTATTGATCTCTTGCACTTTCCACCTATTAATCTCTGGCACTTTCCACCTATTAATCTCTTACACTTTCCACCTATTAATCTCTTGCACTTTCCACCTGTTGATCTCTTGCACTTTACCACCTATTAATCTCTTGCACTTTCCACCTATTAATCTCTTACACTTTCCACCTATTAATCTCTTGCACTTTACCACCTATTAATCTCTTACACTTTCCACCTATTAATCTCTTGCACTTTCCACCTATTAATCTCTTGCACTTTACCATCTATTAATCTCTTGCATTTTCCAACTATTAATCTCTTACACTTTCCACCTATTAATCTCTTACACTTTCCACCTATCAATCTCTTGCACTTTCTACCTATCAATCTTTTGCAGTCCCGTTATCAATCCCTTGCACTGTCCAGCTATAAATCAC